TTGCGCCTGTGTCTTTTGCAGCTTCTCGTACATAACGTGGTGTAGTCATGAGGTGCTAGTTCAAATTTAAAAAATACTTCTACAAAAAAAAGTTTCATCTGCAGATATGGCCTTGTTTAGGGATCTGACGCACATCTGACTGCTGAGTAGTGATTGTGTTTTTCAGCAATAGTGGGCACCCTTAATTTACAGAGAAAAGAAGGTCCAGGAAAAATCTGTAGATGAAAAAAACTCCATACAAGTTCTTTGTACATTTTTCTTTTTTTCTACTTGTTACTTTGCACTTTTTGGTATCGGTGCATCCCTAGTGTGCACCCTTCATTTACAGAGAAAAGAAGGTCCGGGAAAAATCTGTAGATGGAAAAATCTCCATACAAGTTCTTTGTGCATTTTTCTCTTTTTTTTTGTACTTTTTGTTAGAAAATGTTTATTTAGTATTTATTCAGGTTTTTTAAGGTATCTAATATTTTGATACTTATTTTCCGTGATCTAAATATTCTTAAAAATTAAAAGTTTGTTGTCATTTGGAAGCGTGTAGGCCTTCTTGCATTATTATACTGTTATATTATGATTATATATTCAGTGGCATAAAACGGTCTTTAAAATGACAATAATATCGCTTATCGCAATTATTTCTGGGGCAATATATCGCACAACAAAAAGTTGCTATCATGACAGGCCTATTTACTGCGCATGCGCACATCGATATTGCATCCTTTTTCTCACACTGAACAACAATATTTAATGTATCTGCTAGCTGTATCCCTTCCAGCCACAACCGCGAATATAACACATAATTACTGTATTTGCATTACTGTAAGGGTAGGTTTAGGTTTGGGGTAGCTGTCGACGTTAATAAACCATAATTTTACAGGTAGCATTTTTCGTTGTCGAATTGCACTATCCACTGTTTTAATGGGAGGTAGCACAAATCGACAGAACACCGGCTGTTCTGACTCACAGACTGTAAGTACGTTTTCATATTTAAAGGATTTTCCACTGACGATTCAAACACGAGTTTTGAGCAGTGTAGAGTAGCGCTTGTTGTTTGTCATTTCTCCGATCACAAATGCAGACATGGTTTTATGTTTACGCGGCGCGATGCAACGCAACGCGTAAAAACACAGTATAAGTCATTATAATCCGTAATTATGTCCCCACTGGATGCAACAAATGCCTCGTTTATAATGGGTTTTAATGCTTTTGTCTCGGCGCTCCAGCTGGGACAGGGCATCACAGTATAGTAAGGGGCGTAACATTTCTGTCACACGCTTGAGGTATTCGGCCAATTGTAACTCACTGGATAGCTGGCCAATCAGAGCACACCTCACTTTTCAGAACGATGAGCTTTGTAAAAATCGAC